CTGACAGGTTCCTGATTCTCTGTGGCCTGTTCATTTTGGTTATTAATTATTCTCAAAGCTTGGCAACTTATTTGTGTGGTCGTTTGTTGGTTGTTTTTTTTTTTCTTTTTTATTCTAAGATCTGTTTGAAAGCTTTAATTAAGAAACTGATGTTTTTTGAGAGCAGATGCTGAGACAGACAATTGCTCAGGAAAAACGCTGGATACCTGAGAGTACTGTTGCTGCTGTCACGAATGCCTGGTACTGATTCAAAACCATCAGAATATCCATTTTGCCCACATAATGGCCACATAAATGTCCAACAGGAAATTATAAGAATTTAAGAATAGAGGAACACAATAGTCAGGCCATTGCTTTTGAGGACAATGAAGAAAATACAATATCTGCAGTTACTGGCATCAATAATTGGAAATGTAATATAACACGTTTGTAAATTGATATAAAGTTCTACAAGTTTTTTTAAATGGGAACTTACAGAAACTAGTATTTTAATGGCTTGGCTTTTTGCTACTGTCATTCAAACCCTCATGTTTTTGCTCACAGTGGAACAGTTCAGCCACTGTCAGCCAGATTAATACTGCTGAAATCAACAGAGTCACACAGATTGACACCAGAAGACCTGTCCTAATAAATCTAAGTCTACTTATGGGGGATGAAACCACAGTCATGTCTCCCCAAAGGCAGTATTCTCACTTGAATATAAATGGTTTTGTCTGCATGAATGAATTAAATATTGAAGGTTCCATTTTTCGGTCTTAACTGTGGCTTCACCCTTATCAGTGGATCTGATTTATACCAGTGCTTTGGGGAAATACTCGCTCAGTCCTGGAGTGCTCACAGTCAAGCTGGTTTACCTGAACTAGCTGATTTTCTTTTTAGCTGTTGAGTGTATTATCAGCCTTACAAGCATGCTGGCAGGAGGAGTGCAAGCCACGCAGCATTGTGCATGCTTACTCAGTAATGGAAACCTGGCTCGAATAACATTTCAAGGTAACCTCCCTTCACCTGGCATTTTTTAAGGGACCGAGGGAATCCAGTGGTGGAGTTACCACATTAGCATCTCGCTGGTACCTTCTGCATTGTGGTACCAGGGATACATGACTGAACAGGAGCAGAGGAGCTTTTGTCTTTCTATCCATATTGTGATTCCCATCCATCTCCTTCTTAGGAAAGATTGTTTAGACAGCAAAAGAGTGAGTCTTCTTCTGTATCGCAGCTTCATGCACTCTGCGGTGTCAAGTCTCATCTGCAAAGGCCAATAACCCTGTGGAAATGAGATATTCACCTGTGTTGAAGTGAGGCTAGCTGAGTGCTCAGATGCTTGATGTTATCAAAAGTCAGCTAAACCAGATGTTTTCATACTCTTGGTTCTAAAGCTTCTTTGATATTTCAAAGGGCCAGGCTGATGTAACTCTCCTTCCCATCACCTAAGTAGTAATAACAACAACAATAATAGATGGTGCAGTTTGACTCCTCCGTCTCCCTTCCCATTCCAGTACGTGTCTCCTGGAGTGGGTGAGGTTCCTAGCCTTCCAGCTGATTGCAGGCCCGGTGGGGCCCCCGCAGGGAAATCCTGCATGGAAGAGGTGTCTCCTCAATCACCCCAGCATGGAGAAAGGCAGAAAAAAGGGCACCCTGATAGAAAACTAACACAGCTACTTGTTTGGCTTGTTTAAAAGCCAGATTCATGACTCAGCCTTTACCTTTTATGAGTCAGGAAATTCCAAGGTGATCTTTTTTCCCTTGGACTTGTAGGCAGACTCTGATCTCACTATTACAGGGTAAATCCACCACAGGCAAGGAGCTATTCCTGCCACACATTTGCAAGCAAGAGCAGCATCCATCCTCCCTGAACTCTCTTTCTGTTCTTAGCAGTCCCTGTGTTCTTTGGCCAGCTACAGCCCTCAGTAAAAGTGTCAGGCACATCAAACAGCATAAAATAAATCAATCTATTTCCCAGTTTATTTAGTCTAAAAAGACTGTAAAATGGAGTCAAATTGAGAAACCTGTTTATGTGGCCGAAAGGCCTAAGGGACGTATTGAGGAAGGAGTGATATTTAAGTGTTAGGCTAACAGAATCAGAGCTAGTTTGGACTGGGGAATGCTACCTGTTTCCAGTTCACTGTGGATGGCGTGACTCCAGAGGGATGGATAGTTGCATTCACAGACATAATGCCCATGGAAGGTGAAAGGTAAAGAGACAAAAGTCATTAAAACTATAAAATTGCTTCAAGGTCCAGAAAGCCAATTAGACAGTGAGACTTAAAAGCAATGTGGCTTCCTTGTTTTACTGAAGAGAAGAGTCACAGGAGATTTACTGAACCCTTGAGTGTTTATATGTTGGAAGAAGGCACTGAATTCTCATCAGCCAAGCAGACATTGGCAGAAAGATGAAGCTAGCAAACTCAGACTGAAAATACGGCACAAAGGTTTAATAGTGAATGTAACTGAACTCACCCAAACATGAAGTGGATTTTCCATCATTTGAAGATCTTAAATTAAATTTAAGTCTTTGAACTAGACAGAGAAGTGTCTTTAGAGCCTCCATTTATTGGGGTCAGTACAAGACTCCCCAGGATTAAGCCCGGGTGATACAGCATTGCAATGATCTCTTTTAGCATTCCCTCCTTAGAGGGAACTGAGAGCCCCCAGAAGCAGAAGCCAAGGTGTGGGCTGCTGCCATCACTGAGTTAAACAAGAGCCTAAACGTCCCTGTCATTTGAGACTTAATGACATAACCTTACACCCAGTCACACCTGTAAGAGCACTGATGTGCCATAGCCACACAGGAATCGCTGTCAGAAAGGCTGCTGAGGCTGCTGGATGTCTCAGCACCCCTGCCCTGGAGCTGCAGGCCCACTTCTTGATCGCAGTGTCATCCAAGCTAAGACAGTGTCTGGTTTATGATCGCCACATGACAAACTCCCACGACCAACATGAGATGAGCTGTGGAGCTGCAAGCAGCCACATGTCCACATCTCAAAGACTCCATCCTTGCTGATGCACTTGACCACAGCATTAGCTAAGGAATTCACTGAGGGGAATGAAATATGCAGGGGAAATAGTGAAAAGAGAGTGAGATAACCAAACGTTTTTTGGGAAAAAACCAAAACCAACACACCGCCATTTCTGGTGTCATTTATAAGGTGTTCTTTCCCTTAATTTTGGAGTCTGATAACCCAGGACCTTTGAACTCTTGTTCCTCTTCCATTTGCAAAACTACTTTTGCTAGGCCTGCTATCATGGACCCTTCAGCTCCAAGCCACTAAGCACGACTTGTATGAGGTAGTAGCCACCTACTTTACATCTGAGCCTATTACCCTAGGTTAATCCATCTAGTTTCACCTCTTTTTTTAAGAGGCCATCTCACCTAGGTCAGAGGAATTGCACTCTTAAAAAAAAAAACTTTCACTTCACAAAGTATTCAGGGATTTTGGACCCCAAAGTCAGGCACTGAGTGGTAGCCACATGCAGATGAACACCACCCAGGTGACATGAAGACCACAGGCTTCTTTCTAGATTCCTCAGCAGCAAAAGAGAGTCCCTGTGACTGAGTATTGCTAGTGTATGAAGAAGGACGTGTGCTGGTGACAGAGGGCAGCTGGGCGTCCAAACTGTCACACAAAAAATCTGGTCCTTTTAGAGCTCCCTGGTCCAGCTGGTTTAAACCCATTAAACTGCCCATGTCACGTCACACAGCACAAAGGGATGAATGTCACTGCGAGAACACGCATTACTGGAGAACAGCTTCATTGCTCTCCCCTCCCCACCCACCATCAGCCACAGCCTGGAGCGTTCAGCCGTGCCGGCTCCGGGGAGCAAACCCCACCACAGCGCCAGCTCTGCTGAAGGGCTGGGATGGCTGCTGGGGGGGCTTGGGGGTGGCCCACCCCACCCCCACCTGGCACACCGGACTTACAGGAGGTAGCCAAGGCTGAGCAGAGGCACCATCTCAGTTCTAGTTTGGCCATCAGAGTGTTCATCACTGCCCAGCATGCCATACCAAGCAGGAAGGTTTGCCTACTTTTAAATTTACCTTGACATCTCTTTTAGCTCATGTCTCAACTCTTTCTTGGGTTTAAGATCTGTAAAGCCATTTCATATGTTTTTTCTTCCCTTTGCAAGCACTCATTTTCCTTATACTCTTCTATTTCAGTTTAAGGATGAAAGAGACTTTAAGTTCTTTCAGATTCAGGTTTAGAGGGTTGAGGGAAAATACTGTGCCTGTGCCTAGGTAAAAGAAGAAAAACACATCAGAGATGAGCCAGCTAAAATCAGGGTATGCATTAACAGGGATACAGGTGATCAGAGCATTTAGCTCTGTTCAGGGTGGGGTTTGCACTCCCATGTACTTGGGCAATATTTTTTATGCCCACTGCTGGCACAGGATAGAAACGTAACTGGGCCCAGGAGCTGATACTCTCCACCAAAATCAGGGAAGGGATGCGTAGCACGGCAGGGGATAGTGTGCCTTCCTTTCAGTTCCCATGTCGGTTGCTCTGTAAAGAGGGGGGGTCCCGAGGGAGCCGGCAGACGGCCTCCGGCGGAGTGCGCTTGCAGGACGAACACCCTTCTGCACTTCAAATGAAGCCACTCTTTTTAAAAGGTTAAATAAATCAAACATCTGTGCATATTTGTATACATGTCAGGTCATTAATCATAATCAGTAAAGCCAGATCAAACGTTTCTTGCCGTACTAGCTAAGTTGCAAGATCCTGAATGCCATGAGCAGCATGAGGGGTAAGCTCTGAGCATTTTGGTGCGGTGCTAAAATCGCAGTGCGATGGACCACGGTGCTGCAGCTTTCCCTTTAAGAGCCCTTTGGCTAACGGCGCTACACTGAAATGCAGGAGGTGGGACAACACCACACACAAAAATGAAGAAGTGAAGGCAGGAAAAGTTTCTCCAGAGGAAAAATGCAGGGCTTGTCCTTCACCCTGACGTCAGATCTGTCTTTAATAAAATCCCCAAAGAGCCAAGAGAAAAAGGCAGAGTGCCTAGGTTAGGTTGCCAGTTCAGGATTGCTCTGCATTCCCCAAAGTGGTGTTTTTGTTCAAAACGGCTCTAAATCTGGGTTCAATCAATGTATTTAATCCCGGCTTCCAGGGATGAGGTGGCTTTTGCCCTGGATTCTAGCAACAAGCAGCATTTTGCAGGTGAGTTTGGAAACTGCAGGAGGGACTCATCTTCTGCAAACACCCTTGGATTTAATGCACGGTGGGCTGGGAGAGCTGCGTGGGGCACATGCGGGAAGGTGGGCACTTTGGGGAGGTGGGAGAGTGGGGAGGGAAAGGTGAGCTGTGGAGGAAAGGGAAGGGAAGGGAAGGGAAGGGAAGGGCAGGGAAGGGAAGGGAAGGGCAGGGAAGGGAAGGGAAGGGCAGGGAAGGGAAGGGAAGGGCAGGGAAGGGAAGGGAAGGGCAGGGAAGGGAAGGGAAGGGCAGGGAAGGGAAGGGAAGGGCAGGGAAGGGAAGGGAAGGGCAGGGAAGGGAAGGGAAGGGCAGGGAAGGGAAGGGAAGGGCAGGGAAGGGAAGGGAAGGGCAGGGAAGGGAAGGGAAGGGCAGGGAAGGGAAGGGAAGGGCAGGGAAGGGAAGGGAAGGGCAGGGAAGGGAAGGGAAGGGCAGGGAAGGGAAGGGAAGGGCAGGGAAGGGAAGGGAAGGGCAGGGAAGGGAAGGGAAGGGCAGGGAAGGGAAGGGAAGGGCAGGGAAGGGAAGGGAAGGAAAGGAAAGGAAAGGAAAGGAAAGGAAAAAGGGGAAAAAAAGGGGAAAAAGGAAGGTGCAGAAGTAAGTAAGTAAGGTGCAGAAGTGTCTCTGAGTTGAGTCCATCTCTCCTCAGCATCCAGGTGGATCTGCGTAGAAAACTGTAGTGTGGAATTTCAACCCCCCCTTTTTCTTTTCTTTCCTTTTCTTGCTACTATTTGTATTGTGGAGCAAAAGGAGGAAAAGATCACCCATTCCTGCCCGAAGCAGCCAGGGTGAGGCTGTTCTGGGAGCGGGTTAGAGGGGAAAAGGCAGGTCCCCGACGGGCGGCGGTGCCCGAAGGGGGCCGGGACCGAAGCAGGGCCGGGGCCGGTGCGGGAACGGGGCTGGAGCCGCGCCGTGCCGTCG